GTAATGCTTATTACCGTTTAACCGACAATCGTGCGTTCAAGCATCATAAAGACAGCCTTTGTCTCAAGGAGCTTCAACTTTCAGCACATTACTCCTCACAGCTCACCTCCCATCCATCATGCTTTCGCTTAGGCATTTAGCTTCGATATGAAAAAAAGTCACTCAACAAAATTCTAGCAATGATCAGAAATAGCCCAGCATTGCTTTGCTCTGTGGAACAGCTCCCGCCCATGAAGGAATCTGTGCCCTGAACTGTGGATGTGATTGAACCGTAATTAAGCAATGAAATTGCCTACCAGAAAACCTGCTCTGTTTGGCTGTAACCACAACAGAGGCAGAAGCGATCTTAGCCCTGGCAGATTTTTTTCTTTTTTTTTTTTCCTTTATAAACCAGACCTTTCAACACCCACATACTTTACAAACAAATCCCATTCCTGTTGTGACACAAAGATCTCCATCTTCCCTAAGCCTTATGTCTCAAAGGCTTTGCTGGAGCTGGCCAGACAGCTTCACCTTTAAAAAAAGAATAAAGCTGAAATAAAAAACAGACACATCAAGTTCTAACGGCAAAACCCCTGGCTCTGCGGGAGCGCAGCAGTGCTCGCCAAACATTTCGGCATTAGCACCCAGCTGAACCAGAGATCCTGCACGCTCTGTAGCTTTTCTGCTCAGCAAAGCAGAATAAGTCTGGCGGGGACGGAGCCGGCAACAACTCTTTGTCATCCTGCCCCCACGTTCTCAGTTTCAGGCTGGTCCCCGGCACCCTCTCGTCCCACTGTGGCAGGAAAGGTGTTACAGGGATGCGGGAGGTGATGTGGGAGGCAGTGCTGGGAGCTGGTGGGCGTTCGAGCTGCGAGTGGATTAACTGCTTATTTATGCTCGCTCTAATTAGAGCCAACACCTCATTTCACGACTGCAGATAACGCAGAACCACGTTCTCAGCTACACTGAGCTGAAAATAGGCAGAACACAGGCCATAGACATGAATTCCCAAATCTCGCACCGCAGCCCCCGATTTAGGGCTATTGTTTCTGTTCTTAAAGCGTCTGCAAACCCAGAAGAGAGCAACGCACTGAAGCTGGGCTGCAGCGGGCTTCATCCCACCCTTTACCCCAACCACCCTGCATTTTTTAAGTGCTTCCTGCTCAGTTATTCACGTGGCATAATGCAAGAGCAAGGCTGGGAAAGGCACACCTTCCTGCAAGTGCCCGAGCAAGGGTTTGCACCCACACTGGCAACGAGTGTGTGTCCTCAGCCGCACTGACTGCCGTCACCGGCTGCCAGTAACCAGCAACGCCAGCAGGGCAATCCTGCCACGAGCGGGACGGGTACGTTATTATTTCCTAACGTCTCAAAACGACCATTTCTTTTCTCTCAGAATGGGGGTTTCAGCAGATGCTCTTTAAGAGCTAATCCTTGCTCTATAATCATAAATCCTTTGTATTTTAGCCTTTTTTGTTAAATTAACTCAGTGGCAGTAACACAACTGCTTCTGCATGCTTGTACTTTTGCAAAAGGTGTGAAAGCGACAGGACTCGGAGAACAGCAACAGCAGCACTTCCAGCGAGTTTTCACTGGCAGGTGTTAATTAGCAGATTTCAGAAGAGCTCAGCTCAGTCCTGTGAGCCCAAGTTAAAAACCAATTTATGCACAAAACCAGTTTAAGCTAAAGGCAAAGCAGGGAACAGAGACTCGGCCTCAGTGCGACCTGCAAAGGCAGAAATGCTGCTCCAAGTCCTCAGGAAGGTGCTCCATGGTGGCGGCAGCTCTCAAAGAGAGATTTTGTGTTCCCTCACTGCTGCCCAGGTTTGGCTTTTGACAAAACACCCCAGTTGGAGAAACTCTGTATCCAAATTCTCTCCTCAAGGGCTCCAGCACTGGGAGTGGGAGATACGGATTTTATTACCATTCTTTATTACTAAGTCATGATTATTCAAAGAGCCACAGGCCCAAGGCGCTGCGCTAGGGGCTGGACCCGTTCATAGACTCTTCGCAGCGTCCCAAACGTAAGATGATTTTTTGCTTCATCCTAGCCAGGGAACAAACCACCCGATTAAACCAACTGGTACCACAGGTCAGCCCAGCTACTGAGCATTAAGCAAAATGGTCCCACGGACATAACTAATGGCACAATTCACCTCCATAGATGGGACAGGCCTGACAAGCCTAATTAGGTACATACGCAAGAAACTGAAAACAGACGGTAAACACCCCATTGGGTTTTGTCCTTGCCTTTCCCGACTGCTTTTACCCTACACAAGCTGTGTGCGTGGCTGCAGTAATCGTCTTTAATGATCCCTGTTGCTGTGGAATCTTGGAGCAGTCATGAAGAAGAGGGAATAAAGGATACGATGAAATGCACCTGAAGTAACACACGGTAGCTTTGAACTGTCTGTAGATTTTGCAAGATTGAGAGGAGAGCTGTTAACCCAGGGAAGGCACAAGACGGGGAGGAGGCAGGCTCCCACTGCCAGGGGGAAGCTGTCCTAGCAAGACAACCGGTAAGTAAACTGCAGAAGAGGGGTCAGCCAGCCCGGGACAGAGGTAGCAGTGGCACCGTGCTCCCACCGCCTGCTCCTGCGAAGATCTGCCCTAGCGCCGGGGAAGTAACATGTTTTCATGAATCACTATGGACACCACAGAGGTGAGTTATAACGGTCAATCACTCAGTGCAGGTGGCACAAATTTATAGCGAAGCTGATAACTAGAGTCTCTGCCTCGTACCTCTTCCTTGGGCTCTCCTCTGACACCACATCTACACAAGCAGGATCACCATCCTGAATGAGAAGCCTAGAAAAAAAAGCTGTTGCGTGCGGTGACAAGTGGTTTCTTCTTTCAGACCTCGGGGCAGGGGGGGCTCAGCCTTTCCTGTAGCTTTCGGGTGAGCTGTAAGACGCGGCCAGCTGCAGGGATCATTAGAGACCTAAAACCCGTTTCCCAAACTAAGAAAATTTTGCTATTGCATCCTACTAAATCGTCCCCACCAAACAGCTATGGTATTTCCCATCTCAATTCTTCTGTTACCTAGTGCTGCAATGACACCTTATACACGAAGTAATCCTTTGCCATCTTCTGCCCAAAACAGCTTGCAGTCTTTAAGCAGATTACTTCAGTGTGATTTACAGAAACATAGAAAGATTGAACAGATCTACAGCTCAGGTCTGCTTACTCTCCAAAAAGAAACGAGAGGAGCAGCGACTATTGTTCTGTAAAGAGGGGACAAGTTAGTTCACTAGGGTCTAGGAGTCAGTCTGCAACGGCAAAGGCCAGGTACCCCCCCAGGGAAACGAGGCTGCACTCAGGGCAATAACGAAGAACGTGGCAGAGCTCATACCGGGCGAGATGCAAAATCTTTATTCCAGTTCTGAATTGGAAAAAAACATCACCTCCACAGCTCACGGCTGGACAGTTCGGTCAGCACAGGGAGAGGTCACGCTTGCCCAGTGGAGGCACAGACTTTGAGGACACAGTCCTGTAGGCACTTCGAGAGGAAGCTCAGCTTCAAAGTACAAACACTGAACAGTTTGGCTTAAATTTTTAATATAAAAACTCACTAAAAATGCTAAAATGTGACAAACCATTGGAAATACTGTGACAAACATTTGCCCTTATGCAGTAAAAAACAAAACAAACCCAAACTGGTAAGAAGCTTTGAAATGCATGTTTTCTTCTTCCTCCCGGCACATCGGACCATCATCTACTTAAAACGTTCATCTAAAAAAATCCATGGCACCTTCACCTCGTACTTCAGTGCAAGAGGCTACTCTCGATGGACCAGCACAAATAAACCCAGTAAAAAGAGGACCGCATACTGTAAGAGAAAGAAGAGAAGACACAAGAGTGCACATTCACATCTAAAGATGCAGTAACAGCAGCAAACATACAGGACAAACGGTTCTGCCCCTGCGTATAAAGTTCTCACAAAGTAATTTTAGCTGGGACGGGAGAAGCAGGCAGAAAATGAAAGAGCTCTTACCTTAAATTTTGGATAATCATTCATTAAGATAGTCACTATTCCAATATAGGGCACAAATCTACAAGAATAAAGGTTTTATTAAAACAAACAGCATTCAAGGGTACATACGGGAGAAGCACTGCCCTGGTACTTGTACAAAGGAAGAGCCACTCAAGCACGCTGAGGGCTATGGTCAACAGGCTTGGGACTTCTTCCTCCCAAGCAGGGAAGCCATGGCAGTGGGGGCTGGGTGACAACCAGCCCCAGAGCGTGTTTTAGCCTCTGCCTTGTTCAGATCTCGCTTGCCTGCAAAGACTGTGCCTTGCAGAATAATTTCGATGAAAATTCTGATCACGCCTGAGCGTGCACTGCCTTTGCATCGGTGTCCATCCAGCTTCAAAATCTCAGGATGCAGCTCACAGCTTGATAACTTTACTTAAGCCAAGCTAAGAACTGAACTACCTTTGTTTTTTAACTCTCCCCAGTACCTTTAGAAATGCTTTCAGGCAGGTCACAAAAACCCAGCAGGGAGAGTTCAAGAGGAGAGGGGGATTAAGAGATGGCGTTGGGGGAGGGCAGCGTAAAAAGCCGCATCTTTTTCAACTTCACTTACCCTCTCGCTCGTCCTACTACGTCCTTTTTCTCCAACCAGTGCTGCCCTCGTTTGTACAGCCCTCTGTCATCAACGGCGTTATTGTCCCCCTTTGTCAAAAATTTGATGTCACCGTTTTGCCTAGCAAAGACAAGACAGCCAGGTAAGTCAGAGAAAAAGAGCTTATTAAAAGCTGCTCTAGAACAAGCGCGTAGAGACTAACACAAAGATATTAGAAGCGATCGTGTCCTACATGTTCGAGCAGGATGAAAAAGGAAAACTCTGTCAAATGCAGTGGAAAGCAGACTGGAAAAAAAACTGCCAACAAAAGAATGAATTCTGGCCCCAGCCAAGCTTTCCGGCAGAGTTTAAGAACAGGACCAGCAGGATGAGCCATTTCTAGTGAAGGTGCAGCTATTGCCTCTTTGCTTTTGACCTCTCTCGTGTTGACGCTTCTCTTGCTTGGGTTCTGGGCTCTATACTACCACCCAAAATGAGACTTTGGGGTTAAAGCATACGGTTCTACTCAGTAGTGGTCAGAAGCAAGCTGAAACTTAGAAATGATTAGGAAAGGGGGACAGAACAAAACAAACAATACCATTACGATACTGCATGAACTCACGATGTGCCTACATCTTGAATGCTCTGTGCAGTTCTGAGCCCCCTACATCCTTTTTTGAAATGGAGAGAAGAACTGGCAAAGGTTCAGAAATGGGTAACAAGGTCTGGAACCACTTCCATACAAGAAGCAACAGACCAGGACTCTTCAGCCTGGAAAAGACAGAACTGATGGGAGATATGACGGTAGTCCAATACAAATGACACAGACAGCAACAATCAGTTTTTCACTGCCTCTTCTGATACAAGACCTAGAGGGCATCAAACGAAACTCAGAGGTAACAGGTTAATACAAGCCAGAGAAGGTGCTATGCTTAACTAACACAGTGCAAACCAAATCGTGTCTCTCTGGAAGGATATTTTGGATGCCAAATTATTATCAGTTCAAAAAGTGACCAGGTACTCCATGTAAAAAAGAAAAGGGGGCTATTAATACAGAACTGTCACTTTGTGCCTGAAATCATAATTTGCAGAAAGCAGGGAAATTATCACTACACGCTCTCTCTAGTCTTTAATTCATCCTGAGGTGAGTTAGTGAGCTGGTCAGAAACATGATCCTGGAGCGGACGAACCTTTGCTTTGACCTGGAAACAGCTGCTGCTATGCTCTAGCTGTATACACCATGTTACGCACCCTTCCCCAGCCATTTCCATTCAGCTTGCTGGACAGCCAGCAATGCCTGCTTCTAAGCAGCAGTTTGTGCCACTACCCAGGGGTCGGCCGGCCACTCTCCCTGTGGCATCTGAAGGCAGATGCTGAGCGGGAGCATTCTCGTTGCTTGATCCTGTCGGTTTACTCACAGAAACGACAGATCAAATACAACTCGGGAAAGCATGCAGAAGATCTTCCGAGCTCATACTGTTTTCATCATGCCTGAATACCAATGTGTGTTACTTCACAGGAGAAGCTTGGAAGAAAAACAAGGGGAAAAAAAGAACAGGTCTTTCTTCAAAGCACATTTGGCTCACAGCGTGGGAACAGCAAACACTCTAGGAGCTTACTGATAGCCTGAAAAAAGATGAAGATACTCAAAGGTGCAGATAAAGTAGTTTCAGCTCTGAAGACTGACGGCGTAGGAGCGCACCATCTTACTGAGCAGATTCAATGCTCTACCGTGAGCCAGCGTGAGAAGCCCACAGCACAGTTGTTCTGCTGTCTGACAGGTGAATGAAATCTGGTCTGGCTGTCCTGCACCAAAACCCCTAAGTAAATTTTGACCGCAGACTCTGTGTTCAGTGATAAAGAATGAACTCAATTTCGCTCTGAACAAAGAGGAAAAGGCTGGTGAGTAAAAAACCATTTTCTCACTGAAACAATACTGATGTGAACTGGAGCCCCAGTTGCCACAAAATCATGGAGAATAGGGTTTCTGTTTTCCTTCATTTTGACGCTCCTGTCAGCTTTCAGAGAGACTTTTCACAGTTTTCATTCAGTCCATAACTACAGGAAGAAATGGGAAACTCCAGCCATTCAGAGGACACTCCTGAATTCCAAACTGGCACCAGAAAGGTATTCTTTACCTAGTGAAAGGAGCAATTGATACCTCAGAGTCCTGCCTTCAGCGCCCAGCTTCAGGTCACAGTACGTATTTTTCAGTTTTATCTTTCCTAATAAAAAGATCAGGTTTGTGTTTGGTTGTTTTATTTAAATGAAACCTAAAATACTGGAGAATGGCTTTACTTTATGGAATCTAGGATTGGCACTGTGGTTCTGTTACATTTAAAAAAAAAAAAAAGCGCTGGATACCTTAAGACCTAGTGCTGAGATAGAGCCAGGCAAAAAACAGAAGGGTGGGGAATATCTCGAGGAACTGCCGCACAGAATGCACGTTTCTGCTTCTCCTTCCCGTACACCCGCTGAGAGAAGAGAGAGAAGACCCTGACCTTTCTTGCCCCTTCAATCATCAGCCCAAGCAGCAGCAGCACCGGAGCCCAGCTGAGCCTTTGGCATGCAACACGGGAGAAGGAAAGTAGCGTTTCCCTTAAAAGAGTTCCCACGACATCACAAAAAGTGCACGTGCAACATTAGGTATCAAATTTACCAAGTATACTGACCAAGTGTACTGACCTTATTTTTAAATTAGTGGTATCAAAGAACAGCACTTTGAAAACTGACCTTGTTAAATGTTTTTGATATAGAATAAATCTGAAACAGCAAAGAATCTGCTCTGTCTACTGGGAGAGGTGCCGCTCTCTCATAGCCAGGATTTCAGCTGGACTATTTATGTGCACAAAGCTGGTCGACCTTGACGTTGGGCCAGACAAACAGTCTAGATGTCCCAACAGCTGTGGCTGCTACAAATGCCTGGGGGAAGGGACCATCTCTACCCCATCGACCTCACTTGACCAGAGCAATCCTCAAACGCCACCTTTACATACGATTCAAGTGATTCACTTAACCTAGGAACAGGTCTCTCAGCCCTGGTGTAGCTCCAGTTCATTCATATTGCAGCAGGCATTTACTCAGCAGAAACAGATGCTGGGACCCCATCCAACCGTTGCCCTCTCAGAGCTGGCTTGAAGAACCAGGGATTCACCTCAAGATTCAGTTTTCACTCAAATGCCTCACGGGGCTGGCTGGTATCCCCACAGACTGGCCTGGAGCAGTCACAGTTGCATCTTCCCCGACCAGCAAAATCGGAAGGTTCACGGCTGCAGAGGAAGCCTTGCTTGGAAAACTAAACCCTGTTCAGCAATCAGACCAGAGCGACCGCGCTTCATTCCTTCAGACATGCCACCTGCTAAACGTTTACGGAATGAACAGTACACAGAGCGAGCAGCGCACATAGAGACTCCGAGTGTAACAATGCAACACTTCCTACAGAGAAGAAAAGAAACCCCCTGCCTCTGCATGAGAGCAGGAACCAGGAGCATAAAGACAAGCTTTAAAACAAGGCATGCTACATACAAAATGCCCTTCTTCCATAAGTTCTACCTCTACAAATGAGAGTCACTTCACACACATGAATGCAGCCATACCTACAGGAGACAACACAGCAACATGACGTAGCAGCTTGGGATGGAAATGATGGCACAGGAGACATTAAGTGACATGGGGAATCCAGGATACCAGCACAGACCGCCCAGCTTGTGAATTCTGCTGGATGATCTTTACAAGTAAACCAAAGAGGGCAGATTAAATCTGTCTGAAACGTCTGTGTTACTTCTTCCTACAGCACCTGGATATCTGTTACTGATGTCCCACCCATTCATTTACCCAAGAAGATGAGGAAACATACAATTTAGCTAAACGTCTGCAGTACAATCCCCCAAATTCCCGACATACTTCTCATGAATTTTCAGGACGCGGTGGACTATAGGAATTTCCCTTCCTTCTATCCTAAAGACCACGATTTCTCCCACTCTGATTGGATCTTCAATTCGGTTCGTGAGAAACAGGAGATCTCCTCTGTGAAACGCAGGCTCCATGCTTCCACTGAAAAGGAGAAGAGGAGCAATTGAACAATATTTAAACACTCAGAAGCAGGTTTCGGAGTTCATAGTCCTGTAAGAAAAATCTCACAATAACCTCAATGAAAAGCTCCTAAGAAAACCACACAGACTTGGAGACCAGGCATGTGTCTAACCTCTACTGCATTCAGATTTTCAATCACCACACTACCAGCAGTTCAGATTTGTTGGGAAAAAAGAGCACTGCCAGCAGCCGGTGTTAAAAGCACACCAAATGGGAAAAGCCTTCTGCTTTCTTAATAACAACAAGGCTCACGACAAGCAGCATCTTCTCGACTTCCGAGCTCTCCGCTGGTACGGCTACGCTGGCAGCACTGAGGCGGCGGGAAGCTTTATTTCATTTATTTTTGTTTTTCGCAGGTAGGGAGATCATCCTCACGAACAAAGCACTGAACGCACACAGGCTCTTGTATTCCCATCTGGAACAGACAGACGGGTGTGCTAAAAATCTGTTATTGTGATTCATCGCTTTGCTTAACGATCTCATTTCAGGCACTGCTATTCAAGTTATTTTTCTCCTGTCTTGCAAATGGCAATTGTTACAAAATACTTAACCTTCTTAATTCCAAATAAATAATGCAGTACAAAACGATGAACTTTAAGTACCGCATATAGTCGTGTTTTATCTCAAGACAGCGCAGAAGCTGCTATTCAGAATAGAAGATCGCATCGCTGAAGAAGGGATGTGACCTAAGGCCCCTGTCTTACTCACTGGGAGGAACAGCGTGAAACATCTCCCCTGGACTTCACAGACCCGTCAGGAGGGAACAGGAACGCCGCTCGGTTTTATTTTGTGGGAGTTTTGTTAAATGGCACGCGGTAATTAACACTGACGTAGAAACACACGGAAAGGCCAACGTGGCCACAGAACAGGCCCCGTGCAATATCTACGCGGCGTCCGACAGCGCCAGCGTCCGATGGCTGGTGGTTGCCCAAGAACTTCGGCCACAGGAATTTGTCCCAGGCACTAGGAGGCTGGGAGTAACACTGGTGGTACCTACTGCACGGCACTTCTGCGAAGGCAACATGCAACACCTAAGACATCCCCAGTTACAGAGTGATATCTTTTATTTTTAGCCATGTGTATAAAAGGGTACGGCTACAGCTCCCCTTTTCCACATTACAACTCACGAGAGGGCCAGGGAAAAAACCAAGCAGCTGCGAAAGAAGAGTTAGTGGATACTTTTCAGGATGCAACGTAACCCATAATAACGCTCACTGTGCACTTCAGCAAGCCGGTTCCCATTTTAAAAAAACCCAACAATCCCTTTTCACTATACGAGTTTATTTGCTGGCATCTCAAAGATTTCCACTTCCTTTCCACTAACCAAGACTCACCACGTACTTCAACTGTTCACGTAGCAGCAAGAAGACATGCGGCCAGGCACCGCGGGAGGTGCCGGCGCACTGCAACGTTCTGCCACCACAACCTCTACTACGGGAAGTGCCATTGGCCTTGGTGAGAAGACGAGCTCTGCCACAAACACTGCTTTTACACAGGGATGATCCGCCCGAGCAACGGGGCTCATCACTCGTGCCAGGCCCCCTGCTTCAAGGCCTTCCTTTTTCAAGTCTCTCTCACCCACACCGCCGAGCGTTTCTCCAGGAGGTTTGGTACGATCCAGAAACGCCTGGGTCGTGTTCTTGCCGTATTTCTTTGCAGTCCTTCCTCAGGACCACCTCTCTAACGTACAAGCCCAGCCGGCGGACAGAAGCGGATGGGCGAGGTGCTATTTTTACGTAAGGCTGCCAGCCTTGCTCTCCTACCTC